AATAAATAGATAAATTAATTACATGAATTAAATAAATTAAATAAATTAATTAATTTTGAGGAATTGAAAGCAATTCGTTTGATCCGCTCTGTCTCCTGCAGCAGCAGCAGCAGCAGCAGCAGCAGCAGCAGCAGCAGCAGCACCACCACCACCACCACCACCATCACCATCACCACTACCAGCAGCAGCAGCAGCAGCATCACCAGCAGCGTCACAAGCAGCATCACAAGCAGCAGCAGCAGCAACACCAGCACCAGCAGCAGCAGCACCATCACCAACAGCACCATCACCAGCAGCAGCAGCATCAGCACCATCCCCAGCAGCAGCATCAGCAGCAGCAGCAGCAGCAGCAGCAGCAGGAGGTATGTGCGTACGATCCCCTTCTTTTTTTTTTAAGATATGAGAGGTGATTTCAATTAAATAAGAGCTCAACTCTGTCTTGTTCCATTCGCTAAATAATAAACTTAATTCTTCGTTGTTCATTCCGTAGCAGTAACGCAATAAACTATACACCTGCAGCAGCAGCAGCAGCAGCAGCAGCAGCAGCAGCAGCAGCAGGAGCAGGAGCAGGAGCAGCAACAGCAGCAGCAGCAGCAGCAGCAGCAGGAGAAGGAGCAGGGGTTACAGCAACAGGAACAGTTACAGCAGCAACAGCAGCAGCAGAAGAAGCAGCAACAGCAGGAGCAGCAGAAGCAGCAGCAGAAGCAACAGCAGCAGCAGTTTATTAGCGAAGCTAAAAGGAGATTAGAGATACAGTAAAGCATAGATAGAAAAAGAAAACAAAAAAAATAAAAAAAAATAAAAAAGAAGAGAAAGGAGAGACAAAAGGATAAACATAAACAGTAAATGTAGATAATAAAGAGAAAAAAAATAAATAAAAACAACAAATAAACCCCCTAAACAAACGAAAAAAGAATAGAGAAACTGAAACATAAAAAAAAGAAAAGACAAACGAAAAAAATAAAAAAATAATATAAAAGTAAAAATAAATAAAACAAATAAATAAATAAACAAACCAACAGATAAATAAAATAAAAATAAATAAATAAAAAATAAAAATAAAAAGAAATACCGCTGCGATGATTTGCATATCTCCATATTCACTAAAACAAAAAAAGGAAAAACCAATAAACCAAAAAACAAACAAATAAATAAACAAACAAATAAATAAACAGATAAAATAAACAAATATAAATACATAAAATAAATAAATAAATATAAATAAGTAAATACCTCTGCGATGATTTGCATATCTCCATATTCAATACCGTAAACCAAAAAAAAGAACAATAAACACCAAACCAAAAAAACAAACAACCAAATAAAAAAACAAACAAACAAACAAACAAAACAAACAAACAAACAAAATAAATAAATAAATAAATAAAAACAAAAATAAATAAGTAAATACCTCTGCGATGATTTGCATATCTCCATATTCAATACCGTAAACCAAAAAAAAGAACAATAAACACCAAACCAAAAAACCAAACAAACAAACAAAACAAACAAAACAAACAAACAAAACAAACAAACAAACAAAATAAATAAATAAACAAATAAATAAATAAAAAGAAGTAAACAAATACCTCTGCAATGATTTGCATATCTCCATATTCAATACCATTATGAACCATCTTAACGAAATTTCCGCATCCTCCGGGCCCCAAATAAGCAACGCATGCATTGCGTTCTTCTTCGATAGAAATATGTGTATTTATATTTATATTTTTTTCTTTTTTTCCTTCTTTTTCTTCTTTTTCTTTTTTTTCTGTGTTTGTCTTTGCTGCTATAGATAATAATATATTACGCATCAAACCCCAACCCTCACTGTTACCCCCAGGCATCAATGAGGGGCCCCTGCGGGCCCCCTCCTCACCTCCGCTTACACCCATACCTAGATAGCTGCAATAAAAAAATAAAAACAAAAAGAAATATACGTTTTTGTTGTTTTGGTTTGTCTTGGTTTGCTTTGGTTTGGTTTTGTTTTTTTAAAAAAAAAAAATTTATGTAGTAAATTTATTTGTAGTAGGATAATTAAGATAAAGATAAATGCGAAATTGTGAAAATGTTTATAAGTATTGAACTATATACCTATATACCTAGATATCTAGCTAGCTAGCTAGCTAGCTAGCTGGAAAGCTAGCGGCCCAGCTGTATATCTATCTATCTATCTAGCTATCCGGCTAGCTAGCTATCTGGATAGCTAGCTATCTAGCTATATATGAATATATATATATATATATATATATATATATATA